TTATTATTATTATTATCAATATCATCTTCATTCAATAAATCAAGATCATCTGTTAGATCATCATTATTAATATTAAAAGATTTACTTCGATGTCGATTAGTTGGTGTTCGTTTTGTATTATTTAAATGATGATTAACTCGTTTACGTGCTGTTTTAAATGAATGATTTGATTGAGATGTTAACGAACCTGGGTGTGATGATGGTAATACAGAAGATATCATTGATCGATGATGATGTTGCTGTTGTTGTTGTTGTTGTGATGGTTGTTTTGATGATATTGAAGTTGATGTTGTTGGACGTGTTTGAGAATAATGAGGAGGAGAAGAAGGTGGTGAAGTTGAATTTGATTGACCATTCACACGAAGTAATTCTTTTTGTACAACTTCAATTAATGTATCTAAACTTGATTTACGTTTAGTAGCTTGTTTAGCACGAACTAAGCGGATAACTTTTGAACCTAAAAATCAAAAAAATGTTTCGATATATATAATAAAAAACGTAATCTATTTATTTTTCTCATAAATATTCATTAATAGATATTATCTACAAGGTAAAATCTGATTTCCGATAGAACCTTTTGTAAATGTATTCCGTTAAAAATATAGTTTCTGGCTATAGACATTAACCTTCCACTGGCAATCTTAATGCTCAAAGGAATATAAGACATTTTTTATAGAATACTATTCGATAATTAACAACTGATTTTTCTTCTATCGTAAATTAATCCTACTAGTAGATGATATCGATTGATTGAACTCAAAACTGATCGTACGCCTTAGATACAGTAGCACATATAAATATTACAATGAAATGATGAACTACAGAATCTTGTTTATATTTCACTTTAGATATTAAGGAAATAAGATTATTTGTTCGATCAGTATTACAAGAAAGATTAAAATTCTGTAATTATATATATTTGACAACAAAATCAATAGCTTGTTTTTATGTAAATTAATTCTCTAGAATACTCTAAAGTGACCCATTTATTCTATATCATGTAATATAATACTCTCTTTAACTACACTATAGATAAAAAAATCAGTCTTTTTCCTATAGGTAACGCTTTATCTTTATTTCTTCTGAGATAAATATTCGAGTTCTTTTTTTTCATCATTCTTTCTACAAGAAAATAAAAAAATTGATCTACCATTGAGATCTGTATTAGCAAAATTTGTAAAATTTTGTTTTGTTGATTGTTGTTGTATTGTATTTGCAATGGTATCATCATTATCTATATAGATTTTGAAAAAAACATCTTTTTTTAAATACAAAAAATTTATTCATACTCAATTTCGTTGTTTGTGGAGTTTGAATAATCGTTGTCGATGAATTTGGTTGTAAAACACATTCAGTTAAATGAACATAATTATTATTATTATTATTTGAAGAATGATGAACAACTGTTGGGCATATATAATTTGTTTCCATATCCCAGTTCATTGTTCTATTACTAAATAGATATACAAATATGATGATGATAATTAATAGACTATCGACTAACCTTGATGATAACTGTTCGTCGTATAATGTATGTTTTGATTCGGATGTCTGTCGTTCTTGTGTAATAGCAAGTGTATTTTGTAGTACAGGTAAAAGAGTTAATTTATCGTCAGTAATGTTACCTTGAGCGCCAAATGCAGAATAAGAATTTACTCCTTAAAAAAATATAATTATTTATATGACAAAATAATACGAAAATTTCTTTCTACCCATATTCTTGATTGTAGCCGTTGAACGGCGTTGTAAACTCTCATTTTCCATGTCCTCATTCCTGTATATTAGTTTTTGAAGGACATTGATCTGTTAATTTCTAATGTATTAAATGATGATATATGGAAGATGAAATATTTCTTTTTATTTTTAAAAATAAAAATAAAGAATAAGAGAAGAGAAATATTGGAAAGAGGTAAATAAACAAGCAAGCTAGAATATATATATATATATGTATGTAGTATGTGCAAATGCAGCGGCGGTTATTCGCTTGTATTCTCGTTCATTTCATTCGTCGACATTGCTGTCATTGTGATGGAGCATTCAGGGAGCTGAGTAAAACCTCGACACGGAATAATAAATGAGATTTTTTTAAATCGATTCATAAAATATATTTTAAACGTTTATACTTATCAAATGTTGATGAAATATATATATTTGATTACTATAGAAATGCAAAATCTTTCATAGAGGTCGCTAATAACTACATATCTTCAGGGAGAATTCTAACAAGATGATTTCACTAGGGAAACGTTACGTTCAAGTAAGCCTCTCAGACAATTGGAATGGATTTTTTTCGAATAATTTTGTTAAAACTTTAACAATAACAAGCGAAAACGTTTTAATGTTTTTTAAAAGAATGTCTGATGAAATGAAAGTGACAAAAATAAATAAGAAAAAAAATGAAATCGTGTGTTTGAATGTCAATTTCGTTGAAGTGAGTAAAGATGCACATACAAAAGAACACATGCAGTGTTGAGAGTTGAAATAATAGAAGTGTCAGTATTGAGATTCAATCAAGAAAATGATTACAAGACAGTAGAATGTCGACATAACATTATTTTTTTTTAAATATTCATTCAATAAATCAGCATAGAAGTTTAAATCTGTTAGTTTATATTTATTCAATCATGTATAGGAATCTTAAAATATTTATTTAGCTGTATTAAAATTTATCGTTCTCTATTGAATAAGTAAATTGAATCCGACGTGTTATTTTTTTATAATTATTTACCGTTACATATCAGTATATATACATAGAACTACAACAAGTAAAAACTACATGAATCCAATAAAACGCCGTGATTCTCTTAAATTTAATTGAATTTGACGTCGTTGTGTTCGACGAATAATAATCGCAGCAGGTACAATAAATATTATAAAAACTAGAATAATACTAAGTGAAATACTAATTATACAAAGAATTAATTGTTGATGTCCCCATACTGATAACGAATTAATATATTCATCATTTGTTGAATTCATATCATTATCAATAATTAGAAAAATTTGTTCTTTTAAAATATGAAAAAAAAAATTTGATCAAATCATTTATTATAAAATTTACCTTGAAAATTGATAACAAAAAAGATAGAGAATTTTTTGTTGTATGAATGTGATAACTTACATAATAAAAGAACAACTGTTTGTCTGTTTAGTTCGAACATATAAATTACTTTCTTTCTAATATTCAGTAAATCAATAATGCAAATAATCTTTAGTTTTTCTTCTGACAAGTAACAGTCGGCAAATGTTAGATCAATCAAAATTGTATATTAACGCCAAGTTTTAAGTACTATTCGAGCCGAAAAAAAGGTACTTAAGAATTGAGAACTACAAATGGACGTTATCAAGTTGATCTAACTTTATATATAAAATCTAGAAAACAAACTTGATTATATTATAGATCGACGGCATTTTATATTCGAAATCTTTCTATTAAACTTTTGACTAAAAAAAGCAAAAATTTGTCAATTAGAAAATAATTTATCTAACGAAATTTGAATAGAAGTGTAAAGAAAAATATTTGTATTGTATTAATCGAACGAGATTTTTTTGTTTTCTGTCTGCTATAATCATTATCACATTCATTTGCGATGATGATGAGGAAACACAGATGTCAGTCTATTGGTAAATAAACCAGATAAGAAGATGACTAGCACAACATTTACAGATATATATTCATTAAGAAATCAAGTATGACACCACTTGAATGGTCAAATTTATCAAAAACTGCAACATTTATTCAACATACTTTCGGTAAGTCTACCTGCTAAGAAATATATATATTATGTGTATTAAATAACAAAAGGTGCATTACCTTTAATTGGCTCATCAAATGATGTCGGTGTTTTATCTGTTGCTTCAAAAAGTTCAAGTTCGAAATCAAATACATTACCATCATTAAACTCGATTAAACGTACGTTTTATATCTTAATAAGAATAATACTTGATATATTTATTCAGATTCTCGATTATCGACACCATCATTTTCTTCAAGTGATGGAAAAGGTAAACGTCCATTATCCTATTCTCCAATGTCGGATAATTTATTATCTCGTTCGCAACAACAATCAATGGAAATTAATCTTATTCCAACTATTCAGCGTTCAGATAATCGTATACCTAGAGTAAATATTCTATTTTTAATTTAGATATTGATATAAATAATTTTTTTTTGCCTTTAGACAACTCTTCCGCCATTAATCGAACCTAGTGAAATACAATGTCAATGGTCTGGTTGTGATCTTCTATTTTCAACTCCAACACAATTAACAGAAGTTCGAAATTTTAATTAATAATAAAATTTTTTCATTTTTTATTTAAGCATATTCGATCTGTTCATATTAATCGAACTGATTCTCATACATGGTTTTGTCAATGGCAAACATGTACTCGTGGTCGAATACCATTCAAATCATTATATTCATTATTTCTTCATCTAAGATCTCACACACAAGATCGACCATTTCAATGTGTACATATTGGTTGTAAAAAAACATTTACACGAGCAGAATATTTACGTTTACATGAACGTTCACATACGGGTAATTTAAACTCATGTTGAATATTTATCGGATTTCATAAAACTCGATTATCCGGCTCGATCATCTTGAGCGGCTAATTCGAATAGATCCGCGTGAAAAAAAGAGAACAAGAATTTCTTCTCATATAAAAATCTGAACATTTATCTAGGTGAAAAACCATATCCATGCGATCATCCTGATTGTTCAAAAGCATTTAGCAATCCATCTGATCGAACGAAACATGTTAAACGAACACATTTAAATAAAGTTGAAATTTTCGAATAAAAACAAAAGCCGAAATTCTTCGTTTTTTTTAGAAAGAATATATATGTAAAATACAAGGTTGTGGTAAATCCTATACAGATCCAAGTTCATTACGAAAACATGTGAAAAATATTCATGGTGAAGAAGCATTTAAACAAAAGAAACATAAACGTACAGATGATACTTATGAAAAACAATTCGAAGAAAGAAAAGAGAATTTTTCTAATATAAAATCGACTTGGAATGTTCGAAATTTATTCATTAATTTAGATTTTTACTTATCCTTTTTTTTACGTAGGTAAATCCTTCGAATGAATTAAATCAACAGCAATCAAATGTTTTTATGGAAAATAATGATATTGATGATGATGAAGACATTATTGTTGATCAAGGAATTTCATTGAATATTGATGTAAAAAAGTTAATTTTTATTTTTGATAAGAAATAGAATTTTTCTTTTTAGACACTTGGAGATAATTTGGGAGAATTATCAGTTGGTACAAGTACAGCTTTACCAGTACATCGAGTATCAATGACTAATTCTTTAAAACAAATAACAAGAAAAGCAATTCTACCGGCTATACATGTTACCGGAGTTTGTGAAACTGACGAACATGAAACATTGTTAAATAGTGGTAAATGTCTGAGAGTAATTAAGAGGATGGATTAAAAAAAATTAGTGGTATAAATATAGCCTTAGGAAAATATTATCAGGAATTATACTTTTCCCTACTCAGAATGATTAAATAGATTTAAATATGACAAGTGATCGTTTCATTCCATATCCATTTGACTTAAAATTAAAAGTAATATTTACATTTCTATAGCACACCAACAACAACATCAGGTTGCATTTCGCCCATCTCATCCTCATCATCGTATAAGTGCTCAATCTAATAGTACAGCATACGGTAGTATGAGAAGTGATTCAATGAATATTGAAAGTTCTCTGTTTCTTCCAAGTAATCATTCAAGTATGGTATGTTATATTTTTAAATTTTTGTTTCGTTCAGTTTCATGTATATATATTAAAAGATTTCATTGGCACAACATCCAAGTACATCACCATATGAATATGATTGTATATCAACTGAAAATATTCGGTAAATATATATAAAAATTAATATACAATATTTGTAAGATTTAATATAGATATGATACACGTAGTAATAATGCATTAACAATTCCATCATTTCAAACTTCTCATGTATGTATTCAAGAAGTTTTTCTTTGGCATAAAAAATATATATTTTTAGAGTCCTCTTCGACGTTCAAATGGTAGTACTGAACAACTGCTTACTTTACCTCGTGTAAATTCATCAACAAGTCATTTAAGTTCAATATTAACTAATGAATTATCACCATCAAGTAGTTTTTGTGTTAGTGCATTATCAGGTGATATTCAACAACGACCACCAAGTTCAAATCCTAAAATTGCACATTTACTTTATTTTCTTCAAACACTTGAATATAATCAACATTTAGATAATGAGGATGTTTAAATATTAAAATGAATATTCAATATTTGTATTAATTGTTATTTATTAAAGTTTTTTTTCTTAATTGTTATACTCATAAAAAAAATTACCTGTCTTTTTTTTTTGATATACATTTATTCTATTGAACAGATTCAAAAAATAAGATCTTTAGTGCCAATGTTATATCCGATATCTAGATATTAAATGCATTGGTTTTCTTTTTGTCGAACAATATCAAAAAGAATTAACTGAAGTGGTTATTAGATTTTAATAGCTTCAATTTTACATGAATTATTAAAAAGCTCAAGAAACTAATGATAGAATAATGGGCTATCAAAAATCATTTTCAATGGACTAAAACTCTACACCATACATTGTCGATTTTTCATTGTATAACGCAATCTTTAAAAGATATTACCATTACTCGCGTCTCAGCTATACATCTGCAATAAGATCTTACACAAGATTTCCTAACATGTCAAGCATTTTAGATTGATCAACT